AAAAAAAAAAAATTCCACCATGTCATTTTCATAGGACAACAATGGGGATTGTTTAATTTCTAGAGATAGAAAATCAAGAAATTAAGATCAATCTGAGATTCACACTCTATTTTTGATAATCTGATGAGCATGTCCAAGGAACTCTAACTTCATCTATAGAGTGCCAAGAGTGAAGCAGAATGCTACACATAGTTTTAGAAATTTACTACTGCCTACCTTAGCAAGGGTTCAAAACTATGAATGGAATAAGACACAGTCTTCCAGCATTCTATCTTTCTTTGCCTTGTATTTCTCCATTTCTCCTTCCAAAAAATGGGCAATTCCAAAAACATACAATTAAAGTTTACATTTTATTTTATTTTATTTTTTGTCTCTTCGCTATGCAGCTCAGGCTGGTCTCAAACTCACAACCATCCTCTTGGCTCAGCCTCCTGAGTATTGTAATGGCAGGCATGTGCCACAATGCATGGCTTTACATTCCAATGTTGTTTATTTTTTGTTTTGTTTTGCTTTTGCTTGTTTGTTTGTTTTTGTGGAACCAGGGATTGAACTCAGGCCCTTGCACTTGCCAGGCAAGCACTTATTCTACTGAGCCATCTCCCCGGCCCTACATTCCAATCTTAAAGCAACATTTCTGCCAGGCAGGTGGCACACACCTGTAATCCTACCCTTGGGAAGCTGAGGAAGGAAGATCACTGCAACTTCAAGGCCAGCCTGGACTACACAGTGCACTCTAGGCTAGTCTGAACTGCGTAATGAGACTGTATCAAAAATAAAACCATAGTATTTGGATGTTTCTTAGCTTTCACAGATATGTGACTGTCTAATCCATTATTTCACTCTGAAAATATACCATTTTCATTTTTCTAATGATGCACCTTTTTTAGAGAGAAAAAAGAATTTGTATTTTTACTACAAAAATAACCTTAGGGCCCAGGGAGATAGCTCAGTAGAATAAGTGCTTGCCTTGCAAGCACAGGGTCCTGAGTTCAACCCCTGGTACTGCAAAAAAAAAAAAAAAAAAAAAAAAACCAAACCCAAAAACCAGATAACTTCAAATAGCTACATTCCCTAGCTTTCAGCATGTTGTCCCATTATTCTGGAGAGTTAAAAGAAAATTTTATTCTTGTTTCCAGATCAAAGATAAAACAGGAATACCCCAAATACATACATAGACCCCACACTCCCTCTTGTGGTCCTTGACTCTCATTAACCAAGTGTTTTCCAAAGAACTAGAGGTAAACACCAGATTAACCCTGAAATACAAATCAATTCTCATAACAAACTATAAGAGAAACAAAGTATTTCGAGTACTCAAATATAAGTACTTAAATATTGTTAGATACCCATAGTAATCTATTAGCTAAACTCTTAATACAAATGCCCCTAAAATAAATTATTTCAATCTGGCTAGGAATAGAGTACAATGATACAGTGTTTGCCTAGTACATGTGAGGCCATGGGTTCAATCCCCAGTAACACACACACACACACACACACACACACACACACGCACACACACACACACACACACACAAGTGAATTAACCTCTTTTTTATAGGACTCTTTTATACAATAAATAAACATCTTATTTACAAGTTAAACCATGGGAATATTGTTTTAAAATAATGTTATGTGTCACTCTTGCTTATGCAGTCTCACACATGTAGATTTAATTTGTTTGGGGAGGATATAATGTTAGAATGCACTAGGGACTGAGGGTGTGAATCAGCGGTCATGTGCTTGCCCAGCTTGCCTGAGACCCTGGCTTAGACCTCTGGTGCTGTAGAAAAGAATGATGATAAAAGCAAAAGGTGGGGCTGGGGCTGGACCTCTGTGGCAGAGTGCAAAACCCCAAGGCTCAGTCTCCACACCACAAAAGAAAAACAAAAATAAGAAACATGAAGATGTACAGTAGAAAAATTTTAAAGTGCAAAATAATGAAGAAACAACATCTAGGGACCA